TTGGACTACGTGTTAAAGCCTTTCATGTTTGAATTGTGAAGAGAAAAATATATATGTAGGGCTGCAGATGTCCAATTCCTCACTTTTCTAAGTTTTCGCCATTTACAATAAGTGGGAAATTGCCACAAATCATGTAACCTACAGAATATGCATCCATCCGAAGTTCTAACAAAAATATAAGTTAATAAAGACAAAATTGAATTTAACTTTATGGAACACAAAATTGATATCTTCTTCGAGAATATTGGGACAGTTCGGAGGTGCAGAAAATAAAAAAAAACGTTGGGGAGTTAAGGCTGTCAAACCTATAGAGGGATGTATGATATTGAAAAATAATGTATCCTTTTAAAAACAAATGTTAAAATAAATTATAGAAAAGGTGTCCATTCGCCTGTACTTTTTTCAAAATACCCGTTCATTTGTAATTGTCCGTTCGGCTTATAACCCAATGATCGGATCTAGTACAGAGGCCAATAATTTTTTTCATCGGTTTGCCCCTCTTGATTTTATCTGGACCGCCCCGTAGATTATACGTCAGTGGGTCATCTTCACTGGAACCAGACGATATTCTTGTCCGACGCATGAGATATATCATATGCGGCGTTCCCTTTTTGCTTTTGCAAATGTTGAAAATTGAATGCGATTGCAACCCTGGGAGTGTAACATTGCTCAGAGGTACTCAATCCCTTAAAATAATGCATTGGACCACAATTTCATTCGTACCTTATTCACAGAATCGATGGTACAGCTATAGTAACACCAAGTAGTGACACTACGTTATTTCTAAAGGATAAATGTCAAATATTACATTGTTTTTGCGAGACCTCATCGGGGACCTCATCAACTTTGAATAAATGTTTCATTTTTCCCCCTTGGAGCCCCTGGGTTTGAGACCAATCATAGTTATGACGTGCACGGACCTGGGGACAATTCGGGAAATGCGGGCTTATCTCAGCTTTGAACGTTAATCTCTGCCTTATTTAAAAAGCCAACTATGTGTTTTACATATCATTTTGAAGTATTTTTTATTTGCATTTCAATGAAATTATTTTTCCTTCAAAATTTTGATGGGATCCAACACATTTTTAAAGTTAAATATACTCCGACATCGTCAAATACGCTGTAAGACGTAACACTTTACGCTTACAGGGCTCGTTGAAATTGAGATAACTTTTCAAATAATGATCAAAATCCCACTTAAATTTCACAATTTATTCAATGGAACATTTGCATTCATGACGTCACAATTGCTTTACGGCTACATTTCAAATTATCTTATACGAACGCTTTTAAAATTTTCAAAATTGTGTAAGGTTTTGAAGGCGAATGGGACGAGCAATAAGTTTACCTTCATTTAACCTTCTAATTTAGGTCTGATTTGAAAGAAAATTTAACTGCACAATATTGTCATGGCGAAATTTACAAAACAATAACCGGTTTGTTTATTTTGCAAATAATATCAAAATAAGAGCTGGTTTTCGAGACTTGAAAAAATGTGACGCATCGATTTTTTACCACAAATTCCATACATATCAATTTTTACTAACGCCCCAAGTGGATTTCTTGACCGTTTTTCAAAATTCAAAAACATTTTAGAAATATTGTCCTCGAGATCTTGCTACCCTGTAAATTTTGTAATGATTAGATAAGGATAAAGAATTTTATTTTTAGGTTGACTAAACTTGTAAAAAATGTGACGCTTCTCGTTTTTGACGTTGTAAGGCTGTTTGCGCCCTATACTGCTCATTGTTTTGTTTTGTTTTTTTGACGCCATAATGTTACGCTAATTGTCCCCAGTATCGTGCGACGTGTAAGTACATTGTACATCTTCTAAATTACCGCGAGTGACAAATTGAATGATTGTATTTTAATTTTGACTTTACAAATATTACATACATTCCTCATGTTACAACAAAGACATATAAAACTGTTTTATATGTCTGGTTACAAAGACAATGGAATATGATGCAGTTTCATGTTACCAGGTTTATCAATCCTATAGTCACTTCACATATAAAAACGTATTTCTCATTTATCCATCAACCAAAATATTGCTGGGGTGTACAGATGGTCTTGATTGCTGTTAGCTAACCGAGGGACGCACAAATTAGCTCGATTACAATTTCCTTGATATCGAATTGAGCTGCATGCCAAAACTAATTAGGTGCATTCCCAAGTAGAAATTCACCAATCAGAAAACGTATATATTTGAAGTAAGACATGCATGATGGGATTGAAAAGGGCGCCGTTTGTTGATTACACTACTCACCTATAGTAACATTCCCGGGGAAAATCCTCCCGGGGACAGATTAATGTTCCCTCTATTGACCAGACTTGGTACTACACTCCACTCCACCTTTTGTAAATAAGGTCCACATATATATATATATATAAAGGTCAAAGGTCAAAACTAAGGTCAGATTTGAGTTCCTGAGATCTTGTAGATGCTTTTTAAATAAAGTTTGGTCAATTTAGAGCAAGTTGAAATTTGACCTTGAAAAATTTAGAAATTTGACCTTTTTTCAGTTTTTGAGTTCTAATATCTCAAAACTGGAGCAAAATTTTAATAAATAGTCAATTGCTAATATGTGTAGAGCCTTTAGAGGAATATATATTCTGACTTTCAGTAAAAAAAATTGATTTTTAGTCTCCAATTTTGAGAAACTTAGAAAACACAGTTTGTGATTTCGTTTGATGACCTTGCAAATTTTACTTTTTTACACCTCAAAAGGTCTTTTGTGAATAGATATACCTAAATTTGATTCCAGAAAATCGATTTGAAAAATCAACTTTTTTGACCTTTCGGAGGTCACTGAAGGTCAAAGGTCAAAAGTAAGGTCAGATTTGAAATCCTGAGAACTTGTAGATGAGTTTTAAAAAAAATTTGGTCAATTTGAAGCAAGTTGAAAAATGACCTTTTTTGACCGTTTTTTGACGTCAATATCTCAAAATCTAGACGAAATTTGTCTAGACGGCAAAAGGCTAACACTAATAGAATACTAATATCTATCTGTATGCAAAAAATCAGCCAAAAATGTTGAAGTGTAGTTTCAGGCTTTGAGAAACTTAAAAAAAGCTTAAATTTGACCTTGATTTTGACCTTTGACCTTGACCTAGATATGAAATATTTTCCCATCAAGATCAAACCAGGTATCTAGTAGGAGCATATAGTAGAAAGTTGAAAGCTAGTTGAAAGTAGGAGAAAACTGCTTTGATAGAATAAGAATAAAGAAAAGCTACAAAAGCTATAGGAGGCCCTTTCAGGAGGGCCTCCTAATAATAAGAAGAAGAAGAATAAAGAAAGAAAGAAAAGCTACAAAAGCTATAGGAGGCCCTTTCAGGAGGGCCTCCTAATAATAAGAAGAAGAAGAATAAAGAAAGAAAGAAAAGCTACAAAAGCTATAGGAGGCCCTTTCAGGAGGGCCTCCTAATAATAAGAAGAAGAAGAATAAAGAAAGAAAGAAAAGCTACAAAAGCTATAGGAGGCCCTTTCAGGAGGGCCTCCTAATAATAAGAAGAAGAAGAATAAAGAAAGAAAGAAAAGCTACAAAAGCTATAGGAGGCCCTTTCAGGAGGGCCTCCTAATAATAAGAAGAAGAAGAATAAAGAAAGAAAGAAAAGCTACAAAAGCTATAGGAGGCCCTTTCAGGAGGGCCTCCTAATAACGGTTGCAGCCATTGGGGTCAATGCCTGTTTATGTTTAACGATTGAAATATGCAGGGTGTCAAAAAATAACGGCACCCCCTCTACAGCAAAATGTCCTTAATGTTCCATATCGTGTCGTATCTCATACTTGAGTGGGTTTGGGGTAGATATCACCCGGGAATATATATCGTATCTGAGGAGCGGGCAGGATATATTGTATATGTCCCGCTCCAGGCCAAATGCGGGCAGATATAATATATCCATCCCGCTCCCGGGAATTTTTCAAAAGTTTAAGAAAGTTTAAATATCAAAAGTTTTAATTTTCTAATTTTGAAATTTAATTTTTTTAAGTTCAAATGTTACAATTTCATTGTATTGAACAAAAAGAATATTACGAAAATGTTAAATATAAATATCTTGGTGGAAAAGGTGGAAAAGGTTATATCTACCCTAAACCCACTCAAGTATGAGATACACCAGTTATGCACGGTCGGTTTGGATACAAGGAATATCCCTTGGGATATACAATACATCTTCCCTCGGTCCCTTCGGTCCCTCGGGAAGATATATTGTATATCCCTCGGGATATTCCCTGTATCCAAAACCTCCCAGTGCATAACCCCTATATACTTCATTTGAAAGATAATTTAATTCTGGAGTTACTCATCAAATTTCATTTAACAAAACTTTTTATAAAAAAAGCTACATTGTTTCAAAGTTTGCTACTTCGGTACTTTGTTTGCTGCTCTGTTACTGGTTAAAAGTCAAATCTTTAGAAAGTGAAATATGAAAGAATTACCCCAGATTTCAACTGCAATGAACATATGGGTTCATATCTGAAAAACAGGGTAAAGGAACTGATGGACAAAGAGCCTCTTGAAAAAAATTACAGTAAGGATGTATTTCTGAGGAATGTAAGGAAAGTGTGAAGAGGATTATGCAATGCTACACCTTTATGTGAATTTTAATTTAAATCATATCCATCCAGATAAGCTGCTGTTTGAGCAGCAACTGGTGGTCATACCAACTACTAAGAATCAGCTGTAAATCTGTAAAATTATATGATATAAAATTTCTCAGGTAACTCCAGAATTAAATTGTCTTTAAAATGAGATATGACACACCATGTAACATCAAGTACTTTTCGCTGTAGAGGGGGGTGCCGTTGTTTTTTGACACCCTGTACTATGGGCTTTCAAACCCGATGAGATTCATCAAATTGAACAATTCCCCGAACTGCTGTTATACAAGAAAAAAGTAAAAATTCAAACACTAACAGTCTTTACCTGCTATTAATATATAAATGAAGACTTCCGATTTCAAACTTTATGGAGGGGGATATAAGTCTTACTTACCACAGCAGTCTAAACGATTCCATATGACAATCTGGAACAAATTATATGACTTTCCCAGGTCAACGATCCACCATGGCTCTACGATGGTGTTGGTTAATGTATGTGAACATGAATTATATAATTGAAGATTCCCGTTTCTATTACCATCTACGGCTTTTCCAGATACTCTAGAAGTGGTCGATTGATACGTTGGTTTATTTAACGCTATATTTGTGTAGGTCTGTGTTTCTGTCTGATCTGAAGAATGATAATGAAAGGTTTTAATACAAATAAGACCATGTAATTACAGGATACACAGAAATGCCACCCACTTATTTTGAAATAACTCTCTCAATAATGAAGGAATCTTCATGATATTTTATGTTCAATGCTAGAAAGATTGAAATTTGGAAATAAAGAGATATCTCATTTTCCGCGGCGAACGCAAAATCAATCAAAATTGTAAATTAAAAGAATCTGTGTTTTAGAATTAACCGAATAAACGAAAAAAAAATTGGCAGATATGATATGAAGAAATCCAGAAATTACTCAAGTAATGGCTATGACATAAATCCTATATTTCAGAAAATTGTATTAAATTTGAACATTTTTTGAAGATTTCACTGAGAGCATACCTGGACGGAAAACGTAATATCTCTAAATCTCAAAGCTGTTGATGCTACATAAGTAAAACAGTATTTCGTCCATTAACCACACTATGCACACAAAAAATCACGAAGAGTCCTTTATTATTGAGAAAGATATTACAAAATCGTGTCACCCTGTAAAAGATTATTCTTTTGTAAAGTTATGCCAATGTCCAAGTCATTCAACATTAGATTTTCACAAAATTTATTTTTACTAAATTTAAGCAGCTTAATCGCAGACCCAGCACACGCAATGACAATGTTAATCGTGCTTCTGCACGAAACTCGTCGAAAGCCTATTATTATCCATTATCCTACACTAAATGTACTGAATATATGAAATAACAATAAAGTTGGCGAGACTAAAAAACGAATGAAAATATGCTTATTTATTACTATAAATTGTGTTTTTGTCAAAACCGATCAACATATCTCCCTATAACTTTGGGAGACACTTGACTACAGTGCTAGCAACATAATATGTATAAATCAGTGCTATAGTTAATGCATAACTGATTTTATAGAATGATAATATAGTACCCCCCTGAAATATTATTCTAGGGGGGTAAAACTGCTCAGAATCCTTCGTCCACAAACTAAAAAGACCCAGACATATATGAATTGATGCTAAATGAAGTCATCTTTCAGAAACATTATGTCTATCAAGTGGCCCTTGAACTTCCCAAAACCCATGCTATATCCTGGCCTAATAACATTGAATAATAAATTTTGTCTATGTCCTCCGCTTGTTGATTTTATACATTTTTTATACATGTAGTAAAATAAGTTTAGGATAATAAGAATATACTATGATTTTTTCAAAGTGTCATTTTAATCTTCTCCTTGCTAAAGGAATTGACAAAAGGAGGAGGGAAGTTAGCGCAACAGATTTTGGACAGTCATATGTTTGATTTTGGCCATTTCCTGGGGATTTAAACAGGTGCAAATGTTAGGCGAATTCATTACCTCCAGGAAAATCACTTCTAGAGATGATAAAATAATTTCGACTTTGAGACAGGGTAGATGCAAACAACCCACCCACATGTTTTTCTGAAATGTTTTCCTGATTTTCAACCCCTTCCATCCTTGCTTTTTTAATTTTTCTTGCATCAATATGTTGCGTTTTGACATTCAGTTAATCCCTTAAAAGGAATGAACATTAGCGCAGATTTTGATATTTTAAATGGTATGTAGTGTATTTACATATATATGCTAAATGCCACTATTTGTTGGATGCGTTCAGCTGATGATATAACTTACTTATTTTCACCACAAATACGCCAACACATTAGCCACATTAATAAATAAATAAATCCCCATTGATGCACAGTAATGCATTTATGTGCAAATGCCATTTTGTATATTTTAATGCATTTACCTCATTTATTGGTAAAATATACAAGAAAGCATTAACAGGATTTGAACAGATTTATCCTTTTTGCCCCAGTGTTATCATTATATAAAATAATTCTAGTGGATATTTTTCAAGTATTTTTTTTCACATTGGAGAAAATAAATACAAACATTTGAAAAAAGACATTGCAACAATTCAATATCTATGAAGAATATACTGAAACAACTTTTTCAAATATATGATATGATATGGACATGAACATGCAGCAACAATGTTAAGCGGACAGAAATAGTTATAAAATATCAGTGAAATGTGTTCTATTTCTGCGATCCGAGTATGACGTGATTATATAGCGACATTTCCGAGGCATCAATTTTCGAACTCCAATGCAGTGTCTCGGTAAAGACACTGCGGCGGGCAGATGAAGCAAATCCCCCAAATTTGGGGAAAATAGTTCCCCTTTTCATCGCATATGTGGTCAATTTTCACACAACTTATAAAATATGTATTCATGAATGTTCCCCAAACATTATTTTGTCAAAATATTTCAAAATTATTGAAATATGAGAAGAAATCACCGCGGAAGGAATTCTGAGTAAAAGTTTTGTTGATAATAGTTTACCGCACGTGTTGTTTATTAGTTAATACGCACAATTCAACCAATGAAATTGTCTCAATTTTACAATCACGCGACCTGAGCATGGGACTAGAACCAATCACATCAGTTGTTTATTACGAAGTTACCATGCTTACGGTGAGATACCTGCCCGCCGCAGTGATATATCACTGCACGGGAGTTCGATCAATTTTAAGGCATCAATGACGTCATTGATACATAACAATGGCGGCATCCGCAGCGATCCAGATATGGGTACTTTGAACTTGAATTATATGTTAGTTCAAACACGATATGTCCCATGAGTGAGCTGAAGTGATAGATGATGGTTATAAGTAGCCAGCGTGTAAATTAGAACATGAAACTTCGCATTCCCTTTAAATCAATTTTATAGAAAATTCGAAATTATATACATTGGAGTTATACCTAATTTATGATGATACGTATGATAGATCCTTTTACCAATACTTTAAATGTTAGAAACAATATAATGAAATTCAGAATTGATTCTGTTCACATGTTTTGGGAGGGTACTATTTGATGATTTCTTGACACTTTTTGTGTTTGAGATAACAAAAGAACAAAAACTAATTAATTCCACTGTTTTTGGTAGAAGGGTACACGGTGTACAATGCTATTCAGTAACTTCTATTTTCCAAAGTGTTTGAGTCGTTTACTTGTCAAATCCTGAAGAACAACATAGATGTACAATGAAGGTAAAATAATTGTGTCATTTATCTTCATATATCATGCTAATAACCTTTCCAAAAACCGATTCATAAGTCGATTTTCCGTTGTAAACTTCAAATATAGATCACAATATTCAAGTTCAAAGTACCCTGTCAAACCCCTCAATAATAAATAAACGGTAATCTTGACAGGTCCTCAACAAGTGAAAACGTACGTAGGAATAAATGTTTTATCATTTAAACTCATCAAACGATTGGAGGATCAACAGGAGGAAACAGTTTAATTAAGACTTATCTGAAAAATTCTTCTATCACTATATTGATATCTGCACTCGTTCGCTTCGCTTTTTCGTGCAGATATCAATATAAAAGTGATATTCCTCAAAATCATATAGGATATCCTATAAATACGAGATTTAATCACTTTGACACTTTAATAAGCATCGTTATCATGCGATATCATGATAGAATCAGAGCACGACATTGAACGGCACTACTCATTTTGATGTAGCAAAAAATCATTATATTCTCTTCTTCTTCATGCTAGGCAAAACCGAGTGCAAGAGGTATAGATTTGACACGTGCGTGTAATGACAGCAACAATTCGTACCGAATGTCTTTGTTGATGATGTTTCTGTGTGGGAACTAAAACGACCTTTGTCATATTGATCGTCATGAATCGTTTGCCTCATCGTTAATAGGAACAAATCATTTTCTATGGTTTGAAAACTTTTGTATTTTTGTAATTCGTGCTGCACATTGCTTTTTCATAATTAGCAGCTATTATATTTAAACACTTAATAAGTGATTCGAGTTTTGCTGCATAATTATTAAAGGCCCCATAAGGTTAAATCGCTTTGGCTTAGCTTGTATTCGCGAATGCAACTAACGCCTGTCGGCTACCGGATTAACCTATTAATTTATGGGTAACTCATTGAAATATGAATAGTACCTGCCACCATTCCATTTATATTTAAATGAGTTGGTCAGAAAATAGTAGATGAATCTGTTAGCCGACGGGACTTAGTTACATTCGCGAATACAAGGGTATATTATAGTCATGCATATTGGATTACCAAGGGATATGTTTCCATATTTGAAAATTAAACTGGGAAACGAATATTTCTACCCAATATTAGCCCAATGTTGTTATGTTGTATCAGTGTTATGAAACACTGGCATTTAATTTCAAGAAGTTGATTTTGAATAAGTTGATCTATTCAATGGAGAAGGGGAAGTAATATGTTTTTCAATATTTAGTGTTTTATTTGCACGCATGATATGGCGGAAAATGCAATCTGTTTTTGAAGTCATATTTTTCAAAAAATGTCTCAAATACTTTTTGAGTCATGTAAATTAATGTATGAATGATTAACTATATTTTCAGACATCACACTGGTCCTATAAGCGAGATCTCGACTATACCGTAAAAACTCCTTGTTCTGGCGTGATGTATAACGTCTACGCCTTCAAAATCAAAGTACACATTTTTGAACGTTGCCTATGTTTGTAACACTGTTTTAAAATAATAGTTCAGTTGATATGATGAAAGTCTCACCAGTTTTAATCCGACCAAATCTCCATCCTGCCAAGCTGTCAAGTTTCGTACAGTTCACGGTTTCAAATAATTCACATCTGGAGGAAACCTCATGGTAGTTAAATCCTTTACATATTCGGGCGTGCGCGCACATCAGTAGACAATGATTCCACGTGCGAATGCCTAGAATTGTATGCCTAGAATAGTTTAACATTCATATTAGGTGTTGCAAAGAACCGGCCTGTTGTCCATTGGATGCCGGTAACCATTTTGACACAGAATCCAAGGTAAAAGATAATTACCGATATTTCTTTGGATGGATCCATTCTATTAGTCGATGTGTTTTATTTGAAGTTCATAGAAGTTTAATTTTCATTTCATCCTTCGGGAAGTGACTGTTTTGTTTATGTATCTTTCACTTTTCGTTGTTGCTAGCGAGTTGTCGAAATTAAATTAAGCCCAATTTATGAATAATAGAATAAATCCACAATTGATCCGTGATTTATGGATTATACAATACATTTTGCAACAGTCTATCATCCATACCTCATATAGACAGTATACAAACGCATAGTATTTTTTCAGTTTTGTAATGACTGTGTATGAGGGTTGTTCAAAATACATTTTGATCAAATCCAAAAGTTTCTCATGCACCATTCTAAAGTTTGCGCAAGGCCCCCCGCAAAAGCGGGTATGTATGGGGAATTTGACAAAAAATTGACCTAATTCCTTACCCATGGCCAAAAAAATAATTTGTCAGTTTCCCCAACCCCAAAATCTGGTCCAATATTCCTTACCCCTGGGCCCTTCCCCGATTCTACTCTTCACATTATTAGATTTCCTTGTTGGTAATATTTTTAATTTTTGCATTAACATTTTTAGGGAACTCCCTCATGTCCCTACGTCGTTTTCATGATTCATACCAACTTTTGAACAACATGTATCAAGTAATTCTGTTTGACAATCGATGTAGAAAAAATTAACAAATTATGAACCTTGACATGTCAAAAGCATATCATGAAAAAATCATTTACGCTTATTAAAAATATTGAAAAACAATAAATTCTTAAATAAATTCTTACATGTTGTATACGAATCATGAAAAAGACGGATGGATTTTCGCTAATATTTTTTTATTGAAAAAAATTAAAAATAATTACCATCATTAAAACTAAAGTATACAGGACATTTGAATTCACAATACGTAAAAATATGAAAATCTTTGGCGACATTGATAACATCGAAATATGCAAATGAATTTTGTTCACCGAAAATCGTAATTTGCTTGGCTCTGGTAAAAATCAAATTGAATTAGTTGATTATTTCATCAACAATGGCTGTTACCAATAAAAGGGGTAATTCATATCAGTCTATCGAGCTTCTTTTTAGAACTAAAGTAATAACAAAGTCCAGTATTTTATTCCTATGTAATTCTATTTTTTCAAACAACACAGGTACAAGTTATGTTAAATGTCAACTTAAGTTTCTACCCACCAGACTAACACCAGGCTTGACATTCGACTCCAGACATCTGGGCCTCACAAGACAACTTGCCCCATCTGACTAAGATTATTGCATATATCACTGGTCAGTATCAAGATTCGGTAACGGCCGTTACCTTCCCATATAAAATGGTGGACGGAGAGTGTCGATTTCGATATTTTTGGTTTTCGTCGAATTAACCTACTTTATAATTGACGTAATGCTTTGATATTTGAACTTGATCAGCCTTATACATACCTGCCAACCTAAGACCAAAATTCTGCGGTAGATTTTTTTTAAATTGCTGTATTTTTGCGGTAGATTTTTTCAAAATACGGTAGTTTTTACGGTATTTTTCAACAAAATTGCGGTAGTTTTTGCGGTAGATTTTAGAAAAAAACGGTAGTTTTTGCGGTAGATTTTTTAAAAAACGGTAGTTTTTGCGGTAGATTTAAAAAATACGGTAGTTTTTGCGGTAGATTTTTAAAAAATATTGTAGTTTCAGAGGTTTGGGGTAGATTTTTGAAAAAAGTGTAATTTTGCGGTAGAAATTTGAAAAAAGCGGTAGTTTTGCGGAAGATTTAGAAAAAATGCGGTAGTTTTACGGTAGATTTTTAAAAATGCGGTAGTTTTTACGGTAGTTTTTTGAAAAACCGGTAGTTTTGCGAAAGATTCTGAAAAAATGCGGAAGTTTTACGGTAGATTTTGAAAAAATGCGGTAGTTTTTACGGTAGTGTTTTGAAAAACCGGTACTTTTGCGGAAAATTTTGACAAAATGCGGTAGTTTTACGGTAGATTTTGAAAATTGCAGTAGTTTTAACGGTAATTTTTTGAAAAACCGGTACTTTTGCGGAAGATTTTGAAAAAATGCGGTAGTTTTACGGTAGATTTTGAAAATTGCAGTAGTTTTTACGGTAATTTTTTGAAAAACTGGTACTTATGCGGAAGATTTGCCAAAATGCGGTATTTTTCGGTAGATTTTGAAAAATGCGGTAGTTAAACCTTTACACAATGCGGTTTTCTATATTAATACAATGTTTACGTGGTCATATTGTTGTTGTTATTGAAATGACAGACATAATGTTCATATAACATTTGAATCATATGGTATTAAATATTGATTTGTTCACTCGCAATTAAGTCTCTTATGATATCAATGTGTTTGTCTGGCACAAATAGAAAATAAGTACAGATCAATTTTCTTTCAAAAATAATCTGTTATGAGCATTTGCTGAAACCTTTCCCCTGAGACATCGTTCAGATTCGGATATCACAATACTTTTATAATAAACCAACACTTAATGCTTTATTTTTTAATTATGTATTTGTTACTGAGATAATGTACAACATTTTATCGTACTGTAAAAAAATCGATTAAACTATGTATAATGTATATGTGGCGTTCATTACTGATCATAACAAATCAAACTACGCATATTTCATACGCAAAAACAAGTAGTTTTTTGTCATTTCCACTCATTTATTTAGATGAAGCGCAACTAAAATTATATTTTTGTAGCATTCGGAATCTGTGTACAAAAGGGTTTGGTTAAGACAAAAACATGGCAGAAAGAATTCTTTCTAGCTAGTGGTAGTTGGTGTTTGGACTGATTACACGCAAGCTTACTTAGATAAATGCGCAATAACCTGATAACCACAGACCTGCCGATACCTATTTATATTCGGGTTGGTGAAGGAATATTACAGGGACAGTACAGGAAGACTTCAATTTTTCAGCATTTCCCAACAATAACGGGAAATTTTACGGTAGTTTGAACAAAAATACTGTTGATTTTAGCAGAAATACGGTAGATTTTCGAAAATTTACGGTAGATTTTCAAAAATTTACGGTAGATTTTACGGCCGTTCTCCTGGAATAAACGAGTTTTTTAAAAAGAAAATTTACGGTAGATTACGAAAAAATACGGTAGATTTTTTTACGGGCGTTTTTACGGGAATAAAATGGTATTTTTTTACGGTAGTTTGTCATTTTTTTACGGAAAAACGAAAAATTTACGGTAGATTCCCGTAAAAATACGGTAGGTTGGCAGGTATGCTTATATATCATGGAAACTTTGGAGTATGACAATTTGATCTTAAATAATACGAGGCGCCATATCATGATTCAACTACTGAGTATATGTTACACCACTTAAGGGAAGGTAACTGAGATTTTGATTTTGCAAATGATACGATAACTGATCTGTGGTGATGCGGTAACGTTATGAAAGTTTATAATGGAGGACCAGTTCACATAGCAAAACCTGATATATAACAAGTGGGGGCTCACATTATCTCGATTTCCAATTTCAATTAATTAATTTGAGGATGAAACAGACGTGTCAGTTATCGTATATACTTCCAGTTACCTTCCCTTAAGGGGTGTAACATATAGTTAATTATGGCATCCACGTATGATTTATGACGAACAAATGGTCATACTCCAAAGTTTCCATAATATGTTAGGCTTATCAAGTTCAAATATCTAAGCATTACGTCAATTATATAGTACTTTAATTCGACGAAAACCAAAAATATCGAAATCGACACTTTCCGTCCGCCATCATAAATGAGGAGGTAACGGCCGTTACCGCATATTGATACTGACCAGTGATATATACCCTCTGTATTTTTATACTAAGCAATGCAATGCTTGAAATAGAGGTTCAGCAGTGTCAGATATGAAGTCAATAAGAAGCGAGCATTTAGCTGATTTCAAAGACTTGCATGGGAATTACAATAAAAATCATTTATAGCATAACATTCAAACATGCTAGATAACATGATTACTCAAAAACTAATAATATATTAAATAAACCAAAATAATGTATTATAAAAGTGTCATATTGATAACAATCACCTATAGATTTTAGATGACTGGTTAAGGGTGAACAAACTCTAAATCTGACCTTGACAAAATTAAATTCACGTTCTCCTCACATCATAGAATCATTCAAAATGAATCGTATCTTTTGAAAATAAGGATACGATACAGTTGTCTATGGCATTATTTTGGCTTCTTTATTCATTAAATTCAAATATATTCGATATATGAAATATTTATATTCGCTAAATCATTTTTCCATTCGGTAAAAACATTTATATGTTTGTTACAGCAAATTAAGTTTCAAAATACAATCACTTAATACTATGTGCATTAAATTACATACCAGGTCATTCAATAAGTTCACGGAAAAATGCTCTCATTTCAAAGTTTTTTGATATTTTCTCATGAAATTTTCACACAATGTATAAAAAATACTTTCTGATTGATTCTTAAAATATCAGCATCTCCAATTTGATTGGTCAAAAATAAGGGTTACTATGGTAACTTGACTTTTGGGTAGGTGGGGCACTTTTTACGTCACATTATTCATTCAGAGAAACAACAGAATAGTAGGCAATTTATGAGTATATCACATGAATTTCTCCTCCGCTTTCTACTTGTACATAATATTACTTAATGTAATAGTCACAACTATTGTCCAATAAGGTTTTAATAATATTCTTTCTCATGTTTAATGCACAGTCGCTTGCATTCAACCCATTGACGATACCATGCTCTGAAGCCATCTGGAAAACTTGTTTGAATGGCCATCTGGATTGCAGTCGAAAGTTGTTTCACTGTTCCATAAAGTGCACCTCTTAGTTGATCCTTCATCCTAGTGAAAACAGCAAAATCAAGGATTGTCTCATCTGGAGAGTATGTAACTTGGGGCAGCTTTGCCATCTATTTTGCCAGTTATTTGTGATGGTTTCCTGCACAATATTACCAGTGTGATCGGCTGCATTATCCCGATGGAAAAATTTAGAGTTAAGTTTTAATCAACTTACCATAGCATTACTTTTTGCTGATTTTCTGGCCCACTGGTACAGCATTGACTAGCAGGATTTCAGAAATGTTCATGCAAACAATGAACATCAATTTCACAACATTTGTAATTTGAATAAGAACAAATAAAAAAAAATAGGGATCCTTCATTTGCACATATTGATAGATTTTCTGCAATGGTAAATTGTGTGACGTAAAAAGTGCCCCGCCTAACCAAAAGTCAAGTTACCATAGTAACCTTTATTTTTGACCAATCAAATAAGAGATGCTGATATTTTAAGAATCAATCAGAAAGTAGTTTTTTACACATTGTGTGAAAATTTCATGAGAAAATATTTAAAATCTTTGAAATGAGAGCATTTTTCCGTGAACTTATTGAACGACCTGGTATTTCATTCGCTAAATGGTATGTTTTTTGCGTAAATTGTTATTGTATTCCTTAAGAGTAACACATTATATGCACAATATTGAATTTCTATTTGAACCCTACCGAAATAAGTTTGCTTATATTTACCAAATGGTTTATTTTTCTATGACATAGTTAATGCATTTTACCGAAAGCTAATTTGCTATTTACCAAATGCAATATTATTATTATTAAGTAATATTCGATAACTTTCGTCGTTGTTCGATATTTTGTCACGTGACCTCAAAATTTGCAAAATGGCCGCGCAGCTATTCTACATCGTTCAAATATATCACGTGACTGAAAGTCTTGTAAAGTATCGAAAAATAACGAAATTTATCGAATGTGGCATTCGGTATTTACCGAATATAAATAATTTAAATACCGAATGTACAAATAATTAATTGAATTAAGGAAAACAAATTGATTCGCTGCATCACACACATACATGTATAAATATCAAATGTAAATGCCAACACAAAGAACAAGTGAAACTATTTAGCGAATATAAATTGTATAGATTATTACATTCGATAAAATAAAAAAAAATTCGATAAATTGGGTAAAGGTTTGGTAAATTGTTTGTTTTATTTGGTATTTATGGAATATTTAATGTACCGAATAAAGAAGCAGTTTAAACACCATAGTAGTCCAAACAAGAGTACTTTGTCTTCAAATGGTGGCCTTTTAAATGTGCGTTTTTACATTTTTGCCCCAACTGGAAGGGTTGAGAGATTCTGTTGACAATTTGACTAGTAATCCACTCATAGCCAACCGATTTAGACAATCAACATTTGCTTATTTTGAAAGTTGAGCATATTTAGAAAAAATTGGCATAGAGAAATGTTTGCACCCTAAGGGTTGGGGTCAAATTATCAATGTTCACATGGAGACGAAAGTACTTTCGTTTGGACGTACTCTCTCCCTTCTCACCATCTATAGACGAAAGCTTATGTCACTTGAAAACATTGATTTTTAGTGACTGTCAACATGTAACAGCTAGATGATGCACTGGCCAGTCGGGATGGACTGCCCATGGCAACAGTGTCTCCTCTTCTTATTCATATAATATTATCCTTGTTCCCAGGACCCTATAGGAAGAAGTAGCAGCCACCATGCAACTCTCCAAATACACATTCCTTGATAGATTCTCGAGTTGAATTGAGTTGCAGTGGTTGAGTATATTACACAAGTGAGTTGGGTTGTATAGTAAATACATTATGAATATGACACTTACATTTTTGCTCGTGTCTGTTATATCTTGATGAAGAGCACTTAAATACGTATGTAAATCAATATACAGTATTTAACATGCATGTGTGTTAACAGTATATATATATATATATATATATATATGCACCATGTAAATGTTTTAACAATTTAGATTGATAAGCATACTAGTACATATTTCATTTCTCACCAAGTTCTCCACTAAAACCCTCTACCTGGTTCAATATATTGATAAAGTAAGAATACATTTTCTTCTGGTCGAGTTATGAACAAATGAAAATATTTATTTTCTCTTTTTATAGGTCGAGGTGGATCTTCCAGTATTTTTTTACCCAGACTAAAATGTTTCAATAAAGCAGGAGCAAACGTATGTCAGTCAAGAGGTATGCGCCCACGGTCGCTAATCAGTACAATAATTTCATACATTTCGTCCAGTACATATAATAGGCTCATCCCCGGGCATTACGATGCCATTGAATAGAGCAGAGTGCAGTGTATACATTAACCCGGGAGTTCCCATTGAAGTTCAAGATTAACTATTAACCGTTCAAAGGTTGCACATTTAAATTGATATGAAATAGAATCACACACTGAAATGTTGGAGAAATTGATTGAGAATATTTAACCATTGGATAATTTAAACTACACTTATTTACACACATACAGTTAAATATAGTACAGCTTAAATATTGAGTGTACAGAAAGACAGGAAAGAAATTTACAAATTCAACAAGGACTACATTTTACATGTTTTAACTCAACCCAAAAATGGTGTCGCTGAGCATGATTTACTGATCGAAATACTTCAATACTTTATGTAAAAGCGCAAGGACGCATGCACACATGAAAAACTTTTCAAATTGTGTTCTTTCTTAATAGTCGGTCTGTAGTGGCCGACTGGCTCTATTATCCCCCGGACTACATATTCAAACTGGGGGCTGATGGTTCAGTGCTAATATTGGAGAATGCGGAGACAATCAACAGGCGAGAATGCTCCTTTAATGGGAGAAATTGGAATACAACAACCAAGGTTAGTGACTTTGTATACAATACACTTATTATGGGCGCAAATGTGACCTTTTTGCGTGTGTTATTTAGACTATTAAAAGAGGGATGACTTGCAATAACGTGATTTGAAATTACTTGCTATGTTCATTTATGAATAATCTGTAAAACAAGGATAGTTGAAATGTCAAGTGAATTTGAATTCGAGTGAAAATTGAAACAACATTTTAAAATGTCGTCATATGACTTACATTGGGAACGGGGTTAACCATTGGCATTTGGACCCCCCTCCCGTTATTGGTGAGGTTTATATTCAAAATTACCCAAATGTGTAATTGAATGAGAACCATCTGCCCTGAATGTGCGTCATGATTTACACAAGAATAACATGGATTGAAACATAACATGAAAAATTCTGACAATATACGCTTTGCGTCACATTGTAATAGTTGATTGGAATATGTAATTATTGATCGGAATAAACTTAACTTTAATCGGTTTACCAACTAAATCTTATATACTCAATGCAATATCAAATTATGTTTTCTGTTTTGCAGTATCCGGTCCGCCAAGTGGTTTATATTCGGAGGCGTAGGGTTATGTTTGGTGGCAGTCGGCCTTGTCATCGGCGCAGTAATCGTTGTCAATTCTGACTCCCATGGAACAGTTCAATCGGATGAAACCCCATTATACAGTGAGAAGTTCATAGCAACAAGTGAGAGACCTGGGGTCGTAGTGGTAAGTTGCTGAAAACATTCCAAATGCGAGAAACATTGATCCCTCTTTGTATATTGCTGTTTTAAATAAAGCTCTAAAATCAATTTAATTATACCGTCTGGTATTATCATATTGGAATAGTCCAATTGAAAATATACGATCAGAGCTGTTGACAATTGAAAGTTGACTTTTATATAATTATCACAGGCCAAGCGAGTTTGAGAAGTTTGAGAAGTTTAAGAAGTTGAGAATCTAGAATTGAAAGTTAAGAATTTAAGATTTGAAATGATTGATGTTCAATTAGGAAATATTTATGAAGAGACATACACTTGGTAAAGCATTTGATCCATTGAGATAAATGTACTTATTGCATTAATTAGAGAACTGTAAAGCTTGGAATAAAAATATTTGTTTTAATTATAATTAACAAGTCCGTTACAATTATTTGGGAATCATGGAATACAAGTTAGAATATTGGGGAACATAATGGTCTGTTGTGAGTAACCGATTGCACCACGATCCCCGGGGCAAATATAATTTCATTCAGGGTGGGGCTGAACCTAAGAAGAAAACCCCATACAACACTCTCTCACACCATTGAATTCGTCGCGTTCAAACCAAATATACTGTATGTTTCAGGGTACCGATAGCCCCCAAAATAAAGCCCATGATGTATACGTTGATAGTCTTGGAGATGGCATACATGAACCTCCTCCGTCGGACTCGCCTATGGGCAAGTACAAATATGCTTCAGTTGCCGCCGACCATCCCCTGTGCTCAAAGATAGGCACGTAAGTCAAATAATATCCAATTGGACATTTTACACCCTTAATCCGCACTCTAAAATAATCACGGTAACGGTACATTTGTCTATCCACATAAAATTTTATAAAAAAAATATTCGTTGAGTTTGGGCAGGAAGAAACAATCCCTATTTTGGCAATACTTGGTATTTCGAAACATGTTTTTCCAAAAGAATATGGAGAAAATATATATATTATGGATCTGGTTATTCAAAAAAAAATAAATGAGGACGAACAATTAATCTCATGTTCCCATCTCGAGTCCGAAGATCTAACCCTAATATATCATGTACGTGATTTCGATCTTCATAGTTGAACCCTCGTAGTCATCCGTTACAGTTAGCTATTTGCGTTCATGTATGTGTCTTCTATCTTCAGGGATATCATGGGAAAGCACTGTGGCTCAGCTGTAGACGCAGCAATCGCGTCTCTATTGTGTATTGGAATAGAGAACGCCCATAGCACGGGCATTGGAGGGGGTTCATTTGTGACAATTTATGACAGGTAGGTGTTTTTATGGAGCATTGTGGTGCTAGTATGTTGCGCCAAAAAGAATTGTGTAGTAGAAAATATCCCAATTAAACCAATGTTCATCGAAGGGGCAGTTTTATTGTCAAATGTAAGATATCACCTACCCTTAGTATCAGAGTCTCTTGAGTAAATTGGGTACATGAAGCTCTCTTCTGAGGAGTGAGATTAAACTATTTGGTAGATATTGCCATGTGTAATTTTTGCTGTTGATATTTTGGTAATTTTTCTATTTTTTATTTAATACACGTGCCTACATGGATTGATCCTTAACATATAATCACAGGATAAGTAACGAGACAGGGGTTTCGAAAAAATAATCAAACTCTCCACCAATCATATTTCAGAGAGAAGAGGGAAGTAGTATCACTTGACTGCCGCGAGGAGGCGCCATCGGGCGCATCAACGAATATGTTTGTTAACAACACATCAGGTTCACTTGATGGTAAGAAGAACGCAGATTTAGACATCGGCACATTGTCAGTGTATACTCAATACTCAATCTTGCTCATGTTACCAGGACTGAACCTGAATTAAAAAGTGTATATCTATCTATCAAGCTACGCACGAACTTTGTTGCGCATGGAATTAGAAAATGGAGAATCTCCAAGGGGATTAAGAGAGTACTCATAAACCCTCTCAGTCTCTCAAATTAATTCTAGGAGTAATCGTATTCAAGATGAATTTCTGAAGTTGGTTATACCAATGTGAACCCTGAGTGTTAAAAGTGATTCACTCCAGGCTAGAGACGAAACCATCTTTTAAAGAAGCGAAGTCAAACCTTTGCCAGCGAGGAAAGTTTGAAAAAGCAGCTAAAAATTGAACTGTGTAAAAGATCTTCCCGAGTTGACTTTCATAGTGTCTCCACATTTGTTAATATTGAATGCTTCTATTTCCTGTTTCCAAGGTGGACTATCGATTGCTGTACCAGCAGAGGTCGCTTGCTACAAGAAAATGCATGATATGTACGGGCGGTTGCCATGGAAACAGTTGTTTGAGCCTACCATTAAACTATGTAGAGAGGGCTTCGAGGTGAACCAAGCTATGTCAAAAACTATGGTGGAATTGGCACCAAAAATAGAAAAATATCCGGGAATGAAGTAAGCGCGTATCACCACAGCAAAATAAATTTAGTATATAGCATGATCAAAATGAGTGACCTCATGAGTAAAACAAAGGTAAAACTAGACCTTAGATTGCAAGCAATCTTATCGAGGCCCTTACATGCATTCTTGACAATTTGAAGGTCAACCAAAGGCAAATCTAAAATTTAAGGTCACATGTGATCTCCTGAGAACTTGTAGATGATTTTTGAAAACAATTTAAAGCAAGTTGAAAAAATACCTTTTTAGCTTTGAGAAACTTGAAAAAGCTTCGATTTGACCACTATTTTGACCTTTGACCTTCGACTAGATAAAAAATATTTCCCCTCAAAGTCCAACTCAGGTTGGGAGGGAATATTAGGAGCCAATAGTAGATAGTTGATAGCTAGTTGGAAGAAGGAGAGAAATGCTTCGATAGAATAATAACGGGACCTCCTAATAAGTAATGCCTGGGTCACATTTGCTCCGATTCATCGACCGGTCCCGTTTGGTCCGGTATTGGGCCTCCTAATAAGTGAAAAGTACTTAATTTGTACATCGAGTTCCTTTTGTAAAATTACGAAAGGATACAATCGGAAGAAATTCCATCCTAATTAGAGAGATACATATGATTGCACAATGCATTTAATTTGTGATATACACTCACCTCAAATAATTGAAAGCAAGTCAAAAAAGGGAAGATCTGGTCCCGATCAAACAGTATGCTTACATACTCACAGCAAATATAAATCTATAAAGAAACATTTTACAAATTGCAGAATATTCATCAACCCAACCACTAGGGAGTTCTATAAAGAGGGAGAATACATGACTCGGCCCAAACTTGCAGACACATTGGAACTCATTGCGGAGAAAGGAGCCGATGAGTTTTATCACGGAGAACTCGCCAAAACCATCGTCAAGGAGATAAGACAAGCTGGTGAGTGATGTCATACGACAACACATTTTCTACTGTCGTGCACTTTTTAAAAGATCCATTCATTAATGTATAAACGCGTTCATTAAAAATATAAATTAAGACAGAAATAGAAATTTAAAGAAGGAAATCTGTAGTTTTAGTCATAAGCTTTTCTATTTTGCACAGTGTATCTTTAGAAATGTGGAAACAATCTGTAATTGACACAATGGCTGCCAATAGATGGCAGAATTTTACCAGAGCTATAATCTGGCGTCTCAGAGTTGGCAAGATCATAAAGACTACTGTAGAATTCAAAATAATTACCAAAGTTGAATTGTTCACATTTCAGGTGGTATTGTAACCTTGGCTGATATGAAGAATTACAAAGTTCTCGTGAAGGATGCCCTAAATGTAACACTGGACAATGGTGGTTATACAGTGTTTGGGCCACCACCTCCCTCAAGTGGGGCCGTACTTATGTATATTTTAAGCATACTTGATGGTAAGTATTGATAAAGGAACGTTTTATTGCTCTTGGTCTCAGTTTCTAATCTTTGATTTAAAATGAGAAGAAGGTTAGGTGCGTAGTTATACGTATATCGATTGTCGCCAAAAATATAAAGTCCCCTTTTTGAAAGGTAAGGGTCAATTTGTGCTGATTGTGCCGGTTGTTACAATCTCTTGCAGGATACAACATGGGCCCGCGAAACATGAAGACAAAACATAAGACGATTCTGACGTATCACAGGATTATTGAGGCGTTCAAGTTCGCCTACGCTAAACGATCTTTACTAGGAGATGGACGCTTTGTAGACATTAAACAGGTAAACACTGACCAACAAACTCTTTAAAGAATTCTCCAGTGACTGATTAATCCAACTCATATTACTTTGAGCACAGTTTGTTTGAGTTTGTTCTAAAGCTATCTATAAGAAGCAAACCCAAACGAATGTGAAAGGTAAACACAATCAACTAGTCGAGGAGCAGGGATTGGTGACATCTCTGCCAAGCTGTTTAATACATAAATGCAATATGTCACATATATGCACCTCTTACGAAAGCTATTTGAATCGTATATTCATCATAATGATTAAGTATTGCAAACTGGCATGTCGACTACTTTCTATGACTTTTCAAAGGTTCTTCGTTATTGTTATAACTCTTCCGACTTGTTTAATCTAATTAATGGGCATGTTATGAATTTCATATAGGTAGTACAAAACTTAACATCAAAAGACTACGCCAATTACATCCGCAGTAAAATATCCGACGATAAGACGCATGATTTAGAGTACTACGAGCCGGACTTTGGGAATGAGGAGGACCATGGTACCTCACACTTAGCAGTCCTAGGGCCTGATGGCAGTGCAGTCTCTGTTACAAGCACAATAAACCAACAGTAAGTACAATCAACTATCAGTGAGTATTAAACAACTAACGGTAAGTATTAATCAACTAACGGTGGGTATTAATCAACTAAAGGTGAGTATTAATCAACTAACGGTGAGTACAACCAACCAACGATAAGTACAATCAAACAACAGCCATTTCAATCAACCAACCTTGAGCACAATCAACAAAGCAACTTTGACAAATCGAAAGATTGTTATTATGTTGTATTTTAATGCCAACCAAGCACATTTTGATAATTATGTTCATTTGGGGATTATTTGTTCTTTCGATTATCCTATAGTACTATATAGTCGAATGGAAAGAATATATCATAATTCTAAGATGTATTTCTTTGTAGTTTTGGATCCAAAGTTCGGGGCTCCAAAACGGGTATAATCTACAATGATGAAATGGATGATTTTTCCACACCTGGAACTGTCAATGGATTTGGCATTCCTGCGTCTCCTGCTAATTATATCAAGCCTGGTAAGCGCCCCCTATCGTCCATGTGTCCAGCTGTAATAATAGACAAAGGGGGAAACGTTATATCAGTTACTGGGGCCTCTGGCGGCTCGAAAATTACTACATCAACCGCCTATGTAAGTATGCAAAAACGGAGTACTTTGGAAACGTTTATACTTTATAAAAATCCAGAAGGTTTTTAAATTGTGTTTCAACTCACCTTACCAGTGCTATGTATCATTAAATCTTTATTTTAATTGATGATTTTAATATGTGGGAAAATTATTGACATTTTGATTTATCATAAAGATTTTCAGAAAGTCTTCCAGAAAAAATATTTTGAGATGGGGCGATAAAATATTACACCCCACCGTCGTATATAAAGCCTATTGACGTTAGTTAGCGTTGTCATTATCTTAGACTGGTACGGTGGTACCAATTTATTTTTAAGAATCATATTACTTCAAGTAAAGCAACAATTTTAAAGAATCACACTTGTCATATTTACAGAACACTGTTAGGAACCTGTGGTTGGGAGAGACAATTAAGGAAGCAATAGATTATCCCAGATTACATCACCAACTAGTTCCACTTTACATTCAAATAGAAAAAGGATTCCCATTGGTAAATATACATATTTTCCTGAGATATTCCATTCAATGTGTTATTGGAAATGTATTTTTTCAAAAACACGGGGATGAATTGTATTTTGTAAAAATTGATTTAAATTACCATTGAAAATATACCATAGCCTTCAACTACAACTAGCAATAACAATTTAAATGGCGTTGGAGATTATCGAACAAGGCATAGTAAAAAGGCAAAAATATGAGACAAAGATGTTCCTATTTTGTCCATTTTTATACAGTCAGCTTACTATTACATGCATGTAACAATTACAATTAGCCGCTTCTACTCTCCCCTTCATTAGTTTGGCAAGTTTTCATTTGATAGCATATCAAAGTCTGTCAATGTTTGAACCTTAATTTTGCTCCTAAATTACAATAGTTCGGAAAATGACTTTGATAATTTTTAAATCCAACGCATAAGCAGGTTTTGATCAGTAATTCCAAAAGTAACTTGCTGTTGCCAAACGTATGGAGGGGAGTGTATAAAAACGCTGCTAATATTCACATTTCCATTTTCAGAAATACATAGAAGGGCTCATAGAGAAGGGACATAATGTTACAATGTTAGACAGTGCAGGCTCCGTATGTCAAGCTATACATGATACTCAAAGTGGACGATATTCAATACACGCCAACTCAGACTACAGGAAAGGGGGTGCCCCAGATGGGTATTAAAGAAGTTATTGCTGGATGAACACTTGGGAAACTTTCAATTAACTTCAGTTGCTCCCTTCAAGTTATGGTTTAATTGATATTACGGCAATGCAATAACCTAATTTACTCTGGTCACCTTAACTTCACCGTCAATTTATTAGAATTTACCCTTCAAATATTCTTAACAAATATCCCGAGGTCATAAAATAGAGAAATAGAGTATACACGATTTTACAAAATTTTCAAAATAGGTTTACCCAGAAAGAAATTTTTACGAGGACGTTATAATGACTCTAGATGGGGTTTACGTGAACGTAAATTATTTTTACCACTAAAGTACAATGCATCAAAACATGCCTTTATATGCGTTATATTACTTTTCTGTTCCTCGGGTCTACCTACAGTATGCAAATGAAGCAAAGAGCACGAATGTGAAAGAGAGAAAATATGTTACGTCAATTAAATTGTGTCAAAGCTGCTTAAAGTCAGATTCCTTCCAGATTATATTATATTTTCTATATTATATTGTATTATATTATATTATACTATATTGAATTATATTGATACTGTGCACACACTTCTTTTTTACTCGCAACATGCTTTGATGTTATGCCACTCTGTTTAAACTCATTTGATAGCAGGAGTAACAACTAACATAAAGCCATTCTCCAAACGCACGGCTTCAAATACGGAGAAGGAAGAGACAGGGTTGTTGAGGTCTTATAGTCCTGCGTTTGGAGGATGTTGTAAACTGTGGTGATTATCATGTATTCATCATGTTCATATATTGCATTACGCTACATCACATTGCATTATACAGGGTGTTCAAAAAATTGGACCGTCAAAAAGTCATTTAATTTGACACTACTGAAACGTTTAGGCTTCATATTTAACACATATGAATATATAAGCACAAATGCCAAAAGGGAAGGGTGACTAAAAACACAGAAAGACACGCAACAAGAAAAGCAAACTGTAAGTGTAAATCTGTCATAAGAAAAGTAGACCCTATATATCCCAAAACCATGATCTAACGTGAAAAGAAACAATGTCTAACACCCCCTCCCCCCTCCAATCGAGAACCAATATCACAATCCAGGTCCAGAAGACCAAGGGACATTTCATTCATACTGAAGTCATTACAATACATGTTGAAGAAAAATTGAAAAATTGATAGCCAATACTCATAACATCAAAAATAGTTATAGACAATAGTACTCATAAAAGATTATTCAGTCTCAAATGATGTGGGATAGATAAAATTCTGTCTCGAAGTCCATAGGCAGTTCAAAGGGTCAACATTATTATTATTGTTATGACCTTGATTCAATGTCTGATAATATCTGCAAGTTTCAGAGTTTTGGATGTTTTTAGTTTTTATGACATGTTCTTAGTGGTGACTTTGGTATTTGGAGACACACCTGAACTCTGTGGGAGAAATTGGTCAGTCTAGATCACCCGATGCATTCTGCCATTGTTATCTGCTCAGTTCTCACTATCTCCCACTTCAGATCAGCAATGAAGCCCCCACAGATAAAAACCTGGGGTGTTCATCTCTGGGCTATGGCAGGGCCATTCGATTTAAGACCTTCTCCCGATGATTCGATTGCCATAGTGCGTCTGTAACAACTGGTCGGGAGGCTCTGATTTTAGGTGAGGGGGTGGCTCGGTCCTGTTAAAGCCACTGCTGATCCATATACTGTATAGACACCTTGTCTACGATCTAAGGCTCCGTATCACCTACTGAGCAGTTGTTGACCCCGTTTTGTTCCTGTTCTGTTCTGTCCTTATAGCAGACTTTGGCCTCCAGATTGGCTCTCTCTATCTTCACTCTTGTATAGTTAGTTCTTAACAGTACCAGTTTCTCTGTTCTTCACCCGGACATGGGTAATGTTTTTCAGGGCACGTATTGTTTTCCTAAAGCCCTTGCGCATACAAACAAACGACTGATATTTGGAATATTTTTTCATGGCTTATATATTTTCTTCTATAGTCCAAATCAAGTTAACTTCTAGATACGAGAAGTTTTAAGAGTCAGACCTTCGACTATTACTTCCGAAAGAACGAACAAAATCGGTTGAATTTTCTCAAAATTATGACACATCCTTTCGGTCCAATTTTTGAACACCCTGTATTACATTACATTAAATCACACTACATCAATCTGTTGGAATATTAAACACAGATTTCAAAAAGCAAATAGTTTGTGGTGACATTATATATTATCATTATAAAGTGATGTATATCATATAATATATAAATTAAAGGCCTATATAATGTGCAGTATTTCTATTTGTCTTGTATCACAGCATTATAGTTCTTTCGTTCTATCGTTCATCGTAAATTAAATGTACAGTATAAACCCTATCAATAAAAACAGACCAAAGATACCATTCTTGTTCTTGTACCATTGCTCCCTGGGTGCATTTTAATAAAACAATTTATCCATGAACCGTGTCAATGTTGAAGGTTTGTTAGGAACATGAGAAGGGTAGGCAACTTCCCATATTTCATAAATAATCATTGCCTTGGGTTTTCAAAATTGGGGAATGTACACATTCCAAGGAAAATCTTATTTTGGACTTTTCATGTATGATCTAAAGAAATAACTCAAAAATAAAAACATGATTATCTACATACATGAGATAACACCATCGAAAAACCTTCAAAATGGCCGCCGGAAAACAAGATGGCCACCCAAAAGTTAATCTGCTCTAGAATTTGATATCTTCTATCATGTCTGCAAATTTGGAGAAAATCCGATGAGCGGTTTTCCTTAAATGACGAAAAGATTTTCTGGAAAACCTTCAAAATGGCCACCAGAAAACAAGATGGCCACCCAAAAGTTAATCCGCTCTAGAATTTGATATCTTCTATCATGTCTGCGAATTTGGTTCTATAAGTTCTATATATTTTCTTTGCATTTCAAGTTTAATTGCTTTTAGTAATCGTTTTATTCCAAACGTACTCCCATTTTCAAAGACATGTTGAAAATGAAAGTACTTAAATATGCATTCCATATGTTTGACATATATGTTATTTTTATCCCGAAATGATATATTTATTAAGCTATCCGCGTTTGTTTGATGCACACATTTCAACCAATATTTTATGGAATATATAAGTGAGTCTATAGCTAATGGAAATCTTCCTAAATCTTTTTTGACGGCATAACTTGAAGTATATTTGTTAACCCCTAAAAGGAATTTGCAAAATTTATTGTGTATTTTTTCAGGAATAAAGTCTTCATAAGAACTCTCTAGTTTAAGGTCCCCTTGACTAATCCTTCTGTCAACTTTCAAGTGAAGCATTGACCAAAATTCATTTCCGTATAATAATATAGGCTTAACACACATGTCAAAGATTTTTGTGTGCAATTCTACATTGATAGTTGAAAACTTAAAATTTTGTCTCATCATAAAAATAACTTTCAACGCCTTCTTGCTTAAAGGAATATTCCTTGCCAGACCCTTTCTCTCTTGATATGGTAGCTATAATCATATATATAGTTTCCATATTTAGCAAAACATGGGAAAATGTTTTAATATGGTCAATATTGATCATTTAAAAATCTAATGCTTATTTACAGTGAGCTGCCATCTTTTAAGATTTCTTGCAGGAAGTGATGTCATCAACTCTCAACTTCTATAACCTTGCCCATAACAGTATAGGAAAGTAGCACAAAATCACTTCTAGACAAGTGATCATTACTTTCTGTCCGAAGATATTTTCAGGGCTTGTCAACTTAGAATAAAAGAAGAGATTTTCAGAAGGATTAAATAAGATACAAAGTTGAAAAAGAATATTTAGCTGGTTTTGTAATTCTTAATAGCTCCTCACCTAATGCTATATGCAAAGTTGAGAGTCGATGACATCACTTCCTGTGTGAAATTTTAAAAGATGGCAGCTTACTGGAATTGAGCATCACATTTCTAAGTGATCAAAGACCATATCAAAATAATTTTGCGTGTTTTGCTAAACATGGCAAGCATATATATGGTTATAGCTACCATATGAGGAGAGAGATGGTTTGGCAAGGAATATTCCTTTAATTCTGATATGCCATGTTTCAAACTCCCAGAGCTTTTTAAAACAAATCCCAAATATTTATATTCATTTACTTTTTCTATATTTATACTTCCAAATTTAAAATGACTGTGCTTTATTATTTTTCCTGATTTATTAAAAATCACAACTTTCGTTTTTTCAATATTAATATTTAATTTCCATTTTGAACAATATGTTTTTAGTTTATCAAGACAGTATTGTAGTCCCTCATTTGTTTCTGATATCAAGACCAGATCATCCGCATATAAGAGTACATTTATTAACGTTTCATCATTACTACTGATTTTGACAGGCTTACATTGGTCATCAAAAATATCTATTATGTCATTTATATATAAGTTGTAAAGTACTGATTAAGCAGCCTTGTTTTAATCCTAATTTAGAGTGTATTGGACTTGTTAACCCGTTTTTAAGTTTTACTCTGTATACGACACTTGAGTACATGTTATCGATTATATCATATATTTTGCCTCCCATGCCTAGATTTTTTAATTTCTGCAATAAAAGTGGCCTGGGTATGCTATCATAGACTTTTCTGAAATCTACAAAGCATGTATATAAATATTTCCCTACCGTCACGTATTTATCAATTAGCTGTTTCAATATCAATAAGTGATCTGCAGTTCGGCAATTCTTTTTAAACCCGATTTGTTCTCTATGAATTATATTTTGCGACTCTATGAATTCTTCCATTCTTTTATTCAAAATATCCGCAAACAATTTACTCATTGCACTTGATAACGCAATCCCACGATAATTATTTGGTAATAAATAATCTCCACTTTTAAATAAAGGTTTAATTAGACTCTCTCTCCATTGAGTAGGGTAAATGTTATTGTCAAGGATATTATTAAAAAGATTTCTTATCACCTGTATCAACATGTCTGGACTATTTTTTAACATTTCATTTCTAATTGAATCTAAACCAACGGCTTTATTGCTCTTCAACTTATTTATACTTTTTTAAGTTCTTTCATTGATATTCCACGATTAAAGTGTTCTATGTCAATAAAAGTATAATTATTATCCTTTTTGCTATCATATTTACCAACTTGTTCCATATTC